CGTATGCCACGGTTGCTCGTGATTTACTTATAGCTCCCATACAAACTGTTGCTATATATCAGAATGGTATATGTATGGTTTCTTCATTGGTTCAAATATCTATCTAGATCACACATTTAATTTCTCCCGTTTCCAATTCAATGGTCCTCCAAAGATGCTAGGTCTGTTCTATCTACAGGATATTGCATATATTAGTATCCTTTGTATGTACCCAAAAGTGGTGAAGGGTATCATATAGTCGGTCCCGTTCGACTTTTGAACTTTCTTTACTGGTTTAACATTTTATTAAATAAAGTAATAAAATATGAAAAATTAAATTTTTTGTAGATCAGTGTATTTTTTATTCTAGTTACATAATATACATAAATTTACATCTGCCTTAATAGTAAATTCCACATTTGGTAATTTTTAATATCCGAAATGACGTTCTTTACTAATCCAATTAGTTAATGCCAAAAACATAAAGAAGCAGTAGTCATTTCTTTTGCTAATATAATCTGTCAAACTACTGGTAATTAATAAAATATTTATATAGACCATATTATATGAAATGTAAACGTCATAATTTCGTTTCGTTTCGTATCGTTGTGTCGATTACAGATTCTGTGTTGTCTAAAATATAATTTTTGTCTTTATTTTTTCGTAATATTTACTCAGACAGCCTTTAATTTTATTTTTAATTCTCATATTATAAAATTGTGAAGACCGTATCTTTGTATCGATTACAGATTCTGTGTTGTCTAAAATTTTATTTAATTTAATTTTTGTTTTGTTTTTTTAGTTTTTAAATTTATTTTTTGATTCCGATCTTACAAAACATTTTTGATTAATTGTTATCTAGATTACAATGGAGGGGCTTAACGCAACTTTAACTCCAAACGAAGAAATAATACCGTTCATTTATTACTATCCAATTTAAAATAGGATTATCAGTCTGTTATTTTTAATCGTAGGCTTTTTGTTATATTTATATTTATTGTCAATTACTAACAAAAGTCATAATAATAACAAATGGACCGTCTAAATTTCACTGCCTTGCCTGAAGATACAATCTCAATCATCTTAAGTTATTATGGGAAAAATCAAAGAAATTCGATAACACAAAAAAAAATATGTGTGGGCTTTTAATGTGAGTAGCACGTTTAAGAATTAAAAATTCTATAGCATGCAGTGTCGAGTATTTAGTCACCCTACGAGGGTAGTTCGAAAAGTTCTTAGCCTAGCACAAAAAGCGCGGTATAAACAGAAAAAAAAGTTAAGTCTTTTGGAAACTTTCATCTCTGTTATGAACACATATTCGATCTGGCAACTCCTTCATATATAAACAGGTGTTCAAAAAAGACGCATCCGAAATTTTTTATAATGAAGACACGCATTTCTAATTTAATAGTTGGAGGATGATATGGACCAAATATTTAATTTTTGTCGGTTTCTCTGGTCGCTCTAGAGGCCACAAATATGATCCGAACATTACGAAATTTTACATGGAGAAGAGGATTGGGCCAGAGAATATGCATACCTGCTTTGATAAAGATCGGTCATTATTTAGCGGGTCAAATGAACCCTGACTTTTGTGTGAAAAATTAAAAAAATTGTATTTATATATATTTACTCGTAAAGCATATAGACCCTCGAAGTTTATAGTGTATCCAAGAGGAATGGTTGACCTTCAAAATGACTCCAATTACATTGTCGTATGTACTCGGATGTGGGAGTTACACTTAAATATTTACAGTTGCTTACGTATTCAGATATTATTTAGTAACCCATTACCACATTAGAAGGCGGAAATATAGCGCTGATCCCTTTAAAATTTTCCATGAAGTTCCAATTATGGTCAAAGACAACGCCTATAATTTTCGATGATGATCACATTAAAATTTTGGGATGAAGTGGACCGAATACTTAACTTTTTGTGTGTTTTCTAGTCGAATATAGGCGAACATCACAACACAACCCACTGTGAAGGGAATCGAAATAAACATCCGAGATCCGTGGTAGTTGGGTAGGGTATCGTATGGTCGGCCTAGTCCGACTATACTGCTCCGCTCACTGGTTCTATTGTAAAAAATTGTGGGTTCATATTTTTCAATATGCATATGGATTAAATTTAGAGTTACTACGAAAAAACGACGTAAATTTCGGTCAGGCGGAATTTTTATATCCTCTAGAGTCGTTTGCGTACAATGGGACAAATTTATGTAAATCGATTTAAAGCACTGTTCAAAATTTAATCTCAATCAGACATTCGTTCGAAGCTATTTCTGCATTTGCACCAATTCAACAAAACACAGTAACGTCATTCTAGTCTCAATTTGATACGTTGTGCAAACATTCTTGTCAATCTGACAAACATTAGGAGTTTTGTGCTCCATTAAAACAAAATAGGACGAAAGTATATACGGGAGCTATATTTAAATCAAAGCCGATCAAAAGAAATATAGGGGCTTTGGTGTCCATTAACATAAAATCGACGAAAATATATATGGGAGCTATATCTACATCTGAACCGATTTTCACGAAGATAATTTCAGATACAATTTAGTACGCTATGTCAAATTTCTTGCAAATCGAACAAATATAAGGGCCTTGGTACTCTATTTACATTAAATCGGACAAAAATATATATGGAAGCTACATCTAAATCTGAATCGATTTTCACGAAATTTGACACACGTCACTCTAGACAAAATCCAGTACACTATGCAAAATTTTGTGCCAATCGAAAGATATATAGGATCATTGGTGCACAATTTATATAAAATCGGACGAAAATATATATGGGAGCTATATCTATATATGAATGATTTTCACAAAACTTAGCACACATCATTCTGGCCCTAAGTTAGTACCATATTCCAAATTTCATGCAAATCGAAAGATATATAGGGACTTTGGTGACCCATTTACTCAAAACAAACGAAAATATATATGGAAGCTATATCTAAATCTGAATGATTTTCACAAATCTTAGCACACATCATTCTGGCCCTAAGTCAGTACCATATTCCATATATCGAAAGATATATGGGGACTTTGGTGCTCAAAACGGACGAAAATATATATTGCTTTATCTAAATCTGACCCGATTTTTTTTTTGACACACGTCATTCTAGACCAAATTCAGTACACTATGCAAAATTTCGTGCAAATCGAAAGATATATTTACATAAAATCGGACGAAAATATATTTATGGGAGCTATATAAATATCCGAACCGATTTTCACGAAACATCATTCTAACCCTAATTCAATACCCTATGTCAAATTTTATTCAAATCGAAAGATATATAAGGACTTTGGTGCCCCATTTACATAAAATCGGACGAAACTATATATGGGAGCAATATCTAAATCTGATCCGATTTTCTTCAATTCTTATAGTGTTCGTTCTTGGGCCAAATAAGTTATTTGTGCCAATTTTCATTCAAATCGGATTATAAATGCGACTTGTACTTTGTTTACAATTATCAGACGGAAAAACGGACGGACATGGATAAATCGACTCAGAAAGTGATTCAATGCATATTCTCAAAAGGAAACATGTGTCAATATTGTTTCCTTTTGCCTGTTACAAACATATCCACAAAGACATAATAATGACATCGGCAATGTCAGACGTATTTAGCTGCAGCGAAGATGTCTCACGCAGAAGGCGAATGCCACCAATTACATGGAAAGATCAGGTAGAAGAGAACATTTCATTCAAATTTGAACTGCTGCTCACAAGACCGACGCGCCTGGAAATCTTTTTTAAGCTCGGCTTATGGAACAAATGTTTTGTCACAAGCCAGCTAACTAATGGGTCGATTACGGATGGCAATTATCGTTTAGTTGCGTTGCCAGTTGCCAAATTCAGTTGCTTCACACCCAAATGTAACACGCGGCGTGCGGACTTTTGGTCAAACCAAAACCACTATCGATGATGTGTGGAAGGCCATTTCAGAAGACCTTAACTGCTATGGCCCACCAACACGCATTCCAAATGAATGACAGAAAGTGGCGAACATCTTCTTTTGGGTCCATGATATGTACGTGTGTATCATCAATACATCCGACAACACCCTGGAACTTAGTTTTCGAATAAAAAAATTTATTCTTCCCTTTTTCCTCCTCCGTTAATTTGGATACAATCAAAATTTTACACAGTTTTTCCTCTATTAGCCGGATAACTTCGGCGAAAACCACCGACATTGTCGGTTGAGCCATGCCAAGGTTGAAGTCATTGCTATGGGACTTTTGAAAACTTCCCTCCACAAAAAACATCAGAGCTGCACACATTTTTAAGAGAGGAGGAATTGCTGTTGACCGCCAGGCTTTTCGGAAATCAGGGTTTAAGGCTTCATCTATGTACACAACGGCATCTTTTGGTAGTCGAAAATACGCCTTCAAGCTAATATGAGCAGTTGATTGAACATTTCTCTAAACGTCAGCATCTACTCACAGAACTGATGGTAGTTCTAATAGATTTATCTCTTAAATGCCTTCTAATAAATGACACACCTTGAACATAATTTTCATCATCAAAAAATAGTTCCACTGAGCTTATCATCACATATAATTAGTTTTTCTGAAATATTTTATTAATTTTTTTGTTTGTTTACAATATTTCTAGTTGTAGAAATGTCAAAACAGTATTATCGACAGCAACTGAGAAAAGTTGATATTCATAATGTTATGTTTTATTTCAATTGCGTTGCCAGTTGAACTCGCAACTGGAGTTTGGTTGCTTTTCAATTTCTATACTATAAAACAACATAAAGCCAGCTGAATTTCAGCCTATAAAAAATGAGAGCTGAATCCTAAGCCATTAAAAACTTCAAACAAGAACAAAAATCGAAATAAAAATTTAGAAATTCACTTAAAGGACATCTTTGACTTTGTATGTATGAATTTGAAATCAATAAGCACTATTTCATAAAACAATGAAATATCTTTGATATTCAAAATAAGGCAGATTATATATGGATGTGCATTTACTACACCTATTTGGCGAATACCTTGATAATATTTTCCGTACAGATCATTTTGACCAATTAAATGTTTAGTTATTTTTTATTTATTTATTTTTTTTTTGAGAAAATATTTATTTTTAGAAATTTCTTAATCCATAAAAACACAACACATATTTTTTGAAACATGTTACCCCGCACTATGTATGTCATAAAACAAATCAACAATTATTCGTAAACATTTTGCGTGGGATCGATTGATACGCTGGCATAAAATAAACAAATAAAAAATATAATCAGCATTTATATGCATATTCAATGATGCCGATATATTTTTTGTACATAATTTGTATTAATCAAATTATAAAATTTGAAAAAAAAAACACAATCATGACAAACATAAGTAGCCAATGATTATAAATCCATCTACGGCCCGGCAGTTTGTTATTAGGAAATTTGAAGAACATTTGTTAACCAAAACTTAAAATATATATTTAAAGTTAAAGACATTAATTTCTAGTTTTTATAAATATTGTAATTAATTTCCTTTGATTTTACGGTGATTCATTCGATGTTTATTAGAGTGGGTACTTTTTTTTTGAAAAAACATTTATGAGCGTTAAAACGAAAATTGCGATCTATTTTGCTTGTGTAACAGCGACTATCCATCTCCTAATTGACTGTAGCGCCTAGGGCGGCTAACGAAAATGAGGCGAGGCCTTTACATTTGTTGTTGCAAAATCATGGACCAATTTTGAAAATTATTTGATAGGATTTTTTCATCATCCTGGAATGTCATACATTATCTGGAGATGGATCCTGAACATCCGAAATGCAGAAAGGCCGCAAGCTGTATGGTACGTGTCGTGTGGTGCTAGTAAACATGTTGGGCAGATGTTAGGCATCGAGCCATCAATTCGTGCCCAATACCAATTGAACCGGTTGCACCATCCTGATCATAGCTAAGACGGCTCTTGATCGTCTGAGCATATTTATGATTCTCCTCTACTGCTATGGATGGTCATTGAGTATAGCATTCATAAAGTATTGTTCTATTTCCTCGGTGACATTCATAGTGGACCGGCCAGACTTTCGCTTTGGCTTACTGCGTTTCTGCATAAAAGAGGCCTCTCCCAAACGGATTTTTGGGGGTGCGGGATGATGGAAGAAGATGAAGCATATACTGACGGAATGCTGTTACTATGAAGACATTAGAGATTTAGCAATCATGGATATGTCGAATGGAGGGTCTATGTGGGATTTCAGTTGGGTTCTTGAAGACGATCGGACCCTTAGTTACTTAAAGGAGGTGGTTCTCGTGCGTTTGCACCGGGTGGTGGTGGGTTGGTGCTCCGCTAGTCGGTGGTTTTTGCTGCATTAGTTGGCGAGGAACGAGCTGGTTTCCTGTGGCTGTTGCGTGTGTTTTTTCATGGTTCCACTGGTTTTCATAATGTTCACGCCTCATGTGGATGACATGACGGCTGTCCCTGATGGCGGTTTTGTTAAGTGTTTGTGTTGTCCGTTGCCGCGGTCTATTGGTCCGTGAGGTCAGCATGTTAATTGTTCGGACCTTTCGTTACTTAGAGCATGTGGTCCTCGTGCGTAGCCCCCTTTCAGGTGGGCTCGGTTATTTGAACCGGGTGGTGGTTGGTTGGTGTTCCGCGAGTCGGTGGGTTTTGCTGCATTAGTTGGCGAGGAGGGAGCTGGTTTCCTGTGGCTGTTGCGTGGGTTTTTTCATGGTTCCACTAGTTTTCACGATGTTCACGCCTCATGTGGATGTCGTGACGGCTGTCCCTGATGGCGGTTTTGTTAAGTGTTTGTGTTGTCCGTTGCCGCGGTCTATTGGTCCGTGAGGCCAGCATGTTAATTGTTTATGTTCCTTGTTCTTGCTCATCGTTGCTGCTGCTAGTGACAGTGGTAAGTGCATTGTGTCGTCTATTTTGTATTGGGATACCAGCCCGGACTTGTGTCAAACATGGAGAGGTTTTGGTCTCCGTCCTGATCGGTGGTTATTAGTACCGCGGGTGTCAGGTGCCCCTTGATATGTCGATCCAGACTGACAGATGGTGTGGACCCCTGGGGAGCTTCGCGGAGGTTGTGGTTTCGCCCCCCATCAAGGGGCAGAGTGTGCCATATGCATTAGTACAGCCCTTCGGCGCTGGTTGGCCAAATGGCAGGTTTCTTCAGATTCTGCCTGAACGATTGCGTCTGTGTGCATGATATACCCACAAGCCTAATATGCCTTTTAATCTAAAGATTGGTGTATGTTCCTTTGGAACTTTGTCTTTAGCACATGAAGATCTATCCTACCTGGGTGGGTGGAAAATCCGTGCAGTCTGAGATGTTTCCGAAGATAACATTCATATAATTACTGACAACACTTCACCGAATATTATTTCAGTGGAATCCTAATCCCAAACATATTTCTTAGATGACAGAAAATTACAATATCAACTATGCAGGTTTTAATGGATTACGATCTCTATCCTGCGCAGTAGCCGTGACTTTTTTAAATCACCTTGGGAAACACCCTTTCTCACTATACATACGGGTCTTCGATTACCTGTTTCTGAATTCCACATGAATAAAAAACTTTTCCAACACGACTGGTATTCTCTATGTCCTTCAACAACTTTACATGCTGACGGTATGTCAAGGCTCATCATAACTTTATGCTTGGACGATATATTCTGGTTCAGTTCGAATATGTTTGGTAATGGTGTGCAATGCCTTCATAGTACTTTGTTGAGAAAACTTAACTATACTGCCTCAAGTGTCTGCTGCTGACGACAGAAGTAAAATCGGTATCCATGATTTACCGGGCTTTGGGAATTATGTAGATGACTAACGACATATTAAGAGCTGATAAGTAAAAAATTTGACTCCGGGTTCATCCACCTACATTAGAATTTCCGTAGAAATTTCATCTAGGCATCTGCAACATCTTAAAATTACTTACTTAGCTGGCTTATGACAGAACGGTTGTTCCATAAGCCGAGCTTAAAAAAGATTTCCAGGCTCGTCGTTATTGTGCGCATCTCATCCAATGTTCCGAGTTATTGCCTTCTTCTTTTTTTCCATCGGATTTGTGGGCTTCCTCTTCTGCGTGAACCATCACTTGGCTCGCTTTTATATGCCTTTTGAGCTGGGGTATCCTCATCCATTCTCACAAGATGGCCTAGCCAACGAGATGTCAGAGAATATATGGTATAGCTCATTGTTCATTCGACGGCGATATTCACCATCTACAAAGATCGGCTCATAGATCTTCCGGAGAATTTTTTTCTCAAAAACTCCAAGAGTTGCCTTGTCTGCTTGCGCAAGTACCAATGCTTCAGATCCATACAACAGCACGTGTAATATCAACGTCTTGAAGAGTGTGAGTTTGGCCTGGCGGTACAGAGGTATATAAAATCTGCAACATCTTAATATAATTATTATGATCGGTATCGTTATCTCTCAGGAAGTTCTAACAAAATTAGGCCGGAAAATCTTAAAAATAAATCTGTTGAAATGTCCATTTCCTACCTGAGTAATTCTGCCGGGACCGACCTCAAATCTTCACTAAAATCATCTTCTATGGAGCCGAATTTTAATAACACACCACACACGTCTTACCCTTAACAGACGAGGAACACACCATGGATACTACTGTGATTAGCACTACGGTGACAAATACAGTAGCTATCTTGGTGACTCCTCCGAATCAACGAGAGTCCTCTCAGTTGATGAGTAGAGTGTAAGGATTCCTAAACAACGTGCGAAGACCACCACGGTATCCCCTCCAAAAGTGGAGAAGACTGTGAGTGGCCCTATCACATCTAGAAAGTTGTTGGCTGGGACGTCTGAGCCCTCAGCACCCCCATGGGTAAACTGAGCGCTGAGAAACCCCTGACACCATCATCCAAGAAAACTGAGCGTAAGGAACTGTCGAAGTCAGACCGAAGGAGAACACGTAAAACGGCCTCAAAGAAAGCTAATAATGCTCAACCTCCCTCTGCCGAAGTGTCGAAACCGAAATCTAAGATTATGACAATTGGGCAGTTGTTGGTGGATAAACCAAAGGTAGCAAGGCGACGAGCAACAACCTGCTACTAATCTTACGACTGCGTGTAAGATGCACGAAGTACTGCTTCGTACGTGTCGGTAGTGTCGAAAAAGAATCCTGCCAAGACCGTTAAAGGTGTGGTGAAAGCCAAACCCATTGTCTCGAAGCAGGAAGCCCAGAAACCTACACCGGCGACTAGTGACCCTTCTGCTCCACAAGAGCTACTGGAGGATCTATGAGTAGCAATCATGAATTTTAATCAATATTAAATTAATTTGTATTTATCTATTGGTTAAATTAATTTGATACATTTTATTTTACTTGTTAAAGCCTCTCGATTCTCTGAAAACAATAAATTCCTATTTCCAAAAGAAACAAAAAAATAAATTATAATTCCAATTTTTTAGTATATTTTTTATTACTTAATATATATATTTATTATTTTCTCATTATAATTTAGTCATATAAATTTACTATGTGTATATATATAATTAATGCATACCTAAATCTAATTATTTTATTCATATATACTTAAAAAATATACAAACAATAAAACAAAAAAAAAATTAATGAAAAAAAAAATAAAAACAGAACTCAAAGCTACTTTTTATACATATAAAAAACAACAAAAATAATATAAAGGAAAATTTGGACTAATTTTAACTAGACATACACTCACACACACAATTTGTTGTTAACAATTTTGTATATATATAAAAGATTATAAGAACTGGATTTTCCATAATTTTTTATTTCAATTTAGTAACATAAATTTCTAAATATATGTATAAAAAATAAAACAAAAAGAAATATATATATTTTTATTTTTAAAAAGGCAGTATTAAGGATTTTTGTTTTTGTTTTTTTTGTATTTATTTTGTGGTTGTTGTATTTATTTTTTTATACAAATTCCCCAAAAAGAGATTAAATTTGCGAACATTTTAAACGAAATATAGTTATGCTAGTTATTACATGTATATGAAAATTAACAAAGTTTCGAGCACTATATGTAAAGAAAAAAAAAAAAACAGTAGAAACAAACCACTATATACAATAGTAATCATATTGAAGGCAAAGAAAAAAGTGAGTTAAGACATTTTTGTTTATTTTTTTTTTAATTTAGCAATGACAATTGATCAATCGAAAGCATTAAAAATTTTGCATTATTCACATTTATAATAGACCATTTTATGGACATATACTTTCAGTAGGGCTACATCGTTGCATTTCATGCAATTCCGTTTCTTCGAATTAAGTAAGTAAAAACAATTTCACTGTGACCAAAAAGCTGCCAAATCACTAATTATAAGTTCGTGATCGTCAGTGAAGTTGTTAAATTTTATTTAAAAAACATCCTCTCCACACATTCATGTTTTCGATTGAATAATGAAATTGCTAATTCCATTTTAATTATAAATTATTATTGAACTGTTGTTGTTTTTTTAGTATAAGTATAACAAGGACAAACATTTAGCATTTCTCTTAGATATTGGTCGTATAGATTTTTGTTTTTATTTGTTTTATAAACATGTCTCTATGTAGTACGAACTTACTTGTACCCATCTATGTATAAAATTTGAATACTTTAATGTGAACAAAATAAAAAACTTAGAAAATAGTTAAGGAATTGAAAATGTAATTGTTGTTACTATTTAGAGAAAAATATTATTAGAGCTTTGCAAAAAAAGAAGTTTGTTGCCATTTTATTTCGGCAATATACAGCTAATAGACAGACATATGTTTAACAAAATAGCAGCACATTTGTTTTATTATAAAAGCCTATTTGGTGGGTGGCTACTTTTTCAAACTAATTAAAATTTAATTTATCTAAGACTTCTTAATGAACTGAAGATTTTGAAGTAGTACATAAGACGAAAATCCATTGTCAACTCTTGATCTTCAAAATTTTACCGGGCCGTGTATTTGTATGATGAGAAATTATATCCCTAATAAATTTAAATATATGGCATATTCATGATTTGTTTAGGATATATCTCAATCTAAATTTATTTGAGGTTAAATTTAACCAATTTAGTTTTGATCAGGGAGTTCTGCCAGCTTTGGGTGCATTATTTACTTGAACTAGGTGCAATTTATATTTTCCAAAAAATCGCGTTGATATTACTGAGAAAAATACAACTCAATACTAAATTTCTTGCTTTGACCATCTAACTAGTAAAAAAGTGTCATTCGGTGTAGCGGTAGGTAGGTCAAGGATTGTGGTGGAACAAATTTTTTTAATTAAATTTATAATTTTTCAAAATTGTGGAGAAGTTAACCTATAGACTCCACATTCGGATAAGCCATTACGATGTGCAATGTTTTAATCAATTTACAAATGTAAACAAATTTGACACTTTGTGGTGGAGGTACCAGAAGAAGTGGATCGATGGGTCCCATCTACTGCGGACTTGATCTAGATTATTATACGCATTACATTCGCTTCATATGCTTTTTTAATTTTTGCCCCTTTGTGGGGCAGGCTCCAGTAGGAGTGGACCAATATGTTTGGATGAAATTGGATTGAAATTATTTTCACAAAATTTCGAAATGTTGACACTTTGTGGTTGGGAACTATAGAAAAGTAGACCAATAAGCCCCATTTTGGAGCTTGATTTAAGTCTGGAAGAAATATTATTTTGGCTTTGATGGTTTTAAAATAGTAATACCTAACAGACGATACTAGGCGGAAGGGCTTTCCCCTTCAGGCGGTCTGTCCATATGTACATATGATTCGAAGATGACACAGGTGAGGCAGTTTTCTGTGATGAACTTTCAAGAAAGCGGTGTTTTCAAGTAGAAATTCCAGAAATTAGTCATGGAATATGGATTAGGAACGGTGATTAGGTATATCGAAAGTCAAACGGATCACAATTTCGAGAGTAGTTCATGGCTGTCGAATAATTTTGCATGATATATGTCATTCTGTTAGACGTGGTTCGGTTCCGGGTAATAATGCTATAGGAGAAAATAAAATAACTGATGTTCTAAATCGAAGTGGATCGCAGCCGATCAGTGTTGCCCTTTTAGTGCTATATTTAGCGCATTTTAAAATCGTTTAGCAGCAAAAAAGTGATCTAGCATTTTTTCTGGATTTATTAATTTTTCGATATTTTTGTTTTCATTCCAAAAAAAAAAAATTCCGCTTCTCGATTTCATATTGAAATTTCCCTATGTTTCCGATGTAATAAAGTGTCAGCACATTTGTAAACAAGTAAAAAAGTCCTAAAGTTCGGCCGGACAGATGTATTTTTAAATTAAAGTCTCTTTAGTCGGAAAAAGGTTCTACAACCTTTATAATACGCAAATAGAAAATTGTACGCATAAATAGGCTGTATGTATGTTCTACCCCACAAGGGACCAGAGATTGCAGATAAAACCTTCAGAAAAGTGAAAATAGGGTGGTACTGTTATATAAAAGTTATACCAAAACGGTATTCATTTTTTTTTGCACCGATATATCCCATTTTCAATACCAAACATCGTAGTAGTAGTAGCAATGTATTTACAGAATTTCAAAGCTTTGCCTTCAATATTGCGAGCTGTATGGTTACTTAAACAGACGGACATGGTCTTAGGTTCATATTGCGAGGTGCTCTAAACAACATTAATATATACTATCCCCCGTTGTAATGAAGGGCATATTGAATTTTTAAGAAATACAGACCTTACTACTAGGAACAAAAAAATTCTTTCTATATTTTTTCAGCACTTTTTTTGAAACTTTTCAGAAATGTTTAGAACTTTATAGAATTTATTATCAACAACATTTTGGCAACACTGCAGCCGATTGATATTTCAGTTGACGACAAAATCTGCAAAATTTACTGCCAAAAACCTGGAGCTAGGTGGAATAAAGAAGCTTGACATAACCTCATGAAACTGGCTGTAGGAATCATATATCCCATGTTTAAGTGGGAAATCAATGAAGTGTAGTATTACCGTCTATGTGAAGATGAAGAGGAGATGGAATGATCGAACATCTACTTTGTAGATGTCCAATGCCCAATGATTGGTAGATATAAGATTGTCATTCTGATCATTTAGACGTCACTTTACCTTCTCTCTCCCTTTCATTATTTCTTTATGAAGAATACAATGAGACACTTGGCTCTCAAAGTCCTTTAACATATTCAACCAATTCAAAGCTGGCTAATGAAGGAAAGGTTTATATTGGGGTTTTCTGGGCCCCCGATGCGCCAATTTTTCTTGTTAACGTATTCATCATATATTTTATTCTGAACAAGAATATGCCAATATACATTGTGCTTGATTAATATTCCAATGAATTGCTACTTTCTGGGCAAAAACAAGGTTAATTTTAACCTATGAAATAAAGAATTTCCAAAAAAACAAAATATTGTTGAGAGTTGACTCTGTCATTCACTACTCACTTGCGGCTTAAGAATCTTTCCACCAACTAGACAATAATACACTGCTATTATTAAATAAAAAAGAAAATAATAAACAATAAGAATAACTAACACATACAATTTTATATATAAGTTTTACCTATATATCGTGTGTTGAACAATAGATATATATGTAATAAATTACTTACATACAAAACACCGTTTCATACATCATGTTATTATATATGTATATAAATAAGTAATTATTTTGTTTTTTTTGCAAATTTTGTTTAATATAACTAACAATTATCCGACGAAGATAGATCTTCTTCTGTTCGATTAGGCGATGTTTTTATAAATTGTTCCTTATAAACATCATATTCATTTTTTATGTTCACTAAAAACTCATTTTGTTGTTGTTGTTCCACAATAATGGCATCCAATTGGCTATTGAGTTGTGTGGCCATGGTACCGCGATGTTGCAGCAAATTTGATGTTTGGACGTCAATGCGATTCAAAGATTCGCCAACGTGGCGCAATGAATCGGATATGAAATTGTGAATATCTGAACTGTTATCACTTTTGATGGCAGGAGAAATACATGTTGTTGAATGAGGTGAGGACATTGTTGTTTCAGACATACAAGATAATGGTGATAATCGGGAGAGACGTCGCTTTGTGGCAGGATGACCACCACCACCACTTTCAATTGTATCTGAATGCAAACGTTTTAAAACTGCTGTTTTTGTTGTTTTTTGAGAATTATATCTATCAGGTTGTTGTTGTGTCTGCGTTCTTTGCATTATTATTTTTGTTGTTGTTTGAGCAGTTTCAAAATTTTCAGGTGTGTGAGGAGGGATACGGGTTTCAGTTGCATTGGCATCTTGGCACATACTACGACTGTTGTTGTTACTACTGCTACTGTTGCTACGCATCTGTAAGACACTGGGACGATGTGGCGCTGTTGTTGTTGGCGACTCATAACCAGTATCTATTGTTTCGTTTGATGTATTTGCCTGGTCACCATCCTCAGAGGCTGTAGGTGTTGCACAGCCGCCTGATCCTCCTGGACTATGTTGTTGGGCATTGGATTTCAAGACTAGACTCTTTGCTGCCGTTGCTATTACCACACTAACCGATTTGGATATTGAAGTTTTCACCGATGATGGCTCGGGCGGCACCAATGCCAATGGCGGTGTACTGGTATGCCGTTTAACATCATCCTCTGAATGTATCTCGTCCACAACACAGGTATTTGTTTGTCGCTTCTGTAAATTTTCTATTAAATATAAAACTATTTTCTCCAACTGTTGTGGATTCTGTGAGGCGGTAGCATCTTGCACTGTTCCTGTCGGAACTTTGGCATTGATGATAATTGAAAATTTATTTTTCATTTCTTGCACTTTTCTACGACCCTCTTCTTCGTCCAGCAGGGTGTTGACACAGACGAATGAGTGAACCTTATTTGTCTGGCGATCGATTTCTAAATATCCTCGCGTTCGTAGATAAATAAAATTGCCATTTCGTGAAAGCAGACGATAAAAACTTTCGCCGGTATCACTGTTGCAATCGTACATTTGCCGAAGGGCAACAATTACCCAACGTACATCGTCTTGGTGCATAAATGAGAAGGGACTTAAATTGCGAACCTAAAAAAAGAAAGAGAGTAGAATTCAAATTTAAATTATGTCAAGTTAAAATGCAATCATTTTATTTAAAAATTTGTTCGAAATCTGAAGAATGGTTATATAAGTATATTTTCTCATGAACTTCGAAATCGAAATCTTCTTGAAACCATACTAAAAACGCGTTTTAAAAGTACTGGAAAAGATATCCTTCATTTTTTCAAAGGCTGTACAATTTTGAGCTTCCAACAGTCTTGAAAGGTCTTAATGATAAAAAAAGTAAAAATGTAGTAAAGTTAGGCCGGGCCAAACTTTTTAACATCCTGGGGTATACCTAAAAAATGGGTTAATTTTGTCGTCATTTCTATGAAGTGAAAAAATGTAATACCAAATTACAGACACCCATATTTCCCTTTATTAGTAGATTATGTCAAAAAATGATCTATATTCAAAATTTGTTTTACTCTTCAGGAAATCGAAACGAACCAGTAAGACGTTGGTCTAAAGAGTAAAACGTTGGTCTAAAGAGTTCGATGATCCCTATGTGACCAAACGTTCGACTTACCGTGGAATGCTGTTGGGTACTTTGGAGTCCTCTCTACAAATGTTATTCTGACAAATTAGAATCCGTTCAAAAACAATTTCTTCTTTTTGTTCTTAGAGGTTTACCATGGAATACAGATTTAGCTCTCCCGCCTTATGAAAATAGATTGAAACTCCCAACTCTTGACAGAAGACGTTTAATGCTCCGCGCAACTTTTATTACTAAACTTTTAAGAGGCAATATCGCTTCGAGTTTTTTAGTTGGTGAAATACAATTAAACGTAACTCCACGAAACACGCGTAACTACATTCCACTTAAACTTTCTTTAGCAAAATCTAAATATGAATTAAATGATCCCTTTCGTGCTATATGCGAGGTTTATAATAAGCTTTATAATTGTATACCATTTTACGACTCTGTAGATGCAATAAAAATGCAATCCTTCGTATGTAGTTGTTTCTTGTTTTGTCCTTGTTCGTAGTAAATACACATATGACCGGCTGAAAATGTTTGTAGCCGGTAGTTTTCCTACCATCATATCCCTCCATTGTCCGGACTATGGGGTGTACGTGCTCCTCTCGTTATGAGGAGGTGGCCCCCTCGGTCTACAGGGGCGGGAATGAGTGGAGTGGAAACGATCGAAAAAAATAAATGTAGTAAATCATACGCATTATCACTAACCTCAGCCTCAGTACATTGTACTAAATCGTGTGCCAGTCGTACAAACTTTAGGTCTTTAATGCACAATTAACATAAAATCGGAAGATAATATATAATGGAGCTATATCTAAATCTGAACCGATTTTCACAAAACTTAGCACACATCATTCTAGACTCAATTCAGTATGCTATGCCAAATTTCGAGCAAATCGAAAGATGCATAGGGACTTTGGTGCACCATTTTCATTAAATCGGACGAAAATATATATGAGAGCTATATATAAATCTGAACCGATTTTTACGAAACTTGACACACATCATTCTAGACTATGCCAATTTTTTTACAAATCGAAAGATATATAAGAATTTTGGTGCATCAATTACATTAAGTCGGGAGCTATATCTAAATCTGAACCGTTTTTCACGAAACTTAGAACTCATCATTATTGACTTAATATGATACCAAATTTCGTCCAAATCGAAAGATTTATAAGGACGGTGGTGCACCTTTTACATTAAATCGGACGAAAATATATATGTGAACTATATCTAAATATGATCTGATTTTTTCCTCCAAATGGATGAGCTGTGCCAAATTTCATTCAATTCGGATCATAAATGCGAGCTATACATTGTTAACAATTGAACATCAACAGACGGACGGGCATACATAAATCGACTCAGAAAGTGATTCTTTGCATGTTCTCAAAAGGAACCATGGGTCTATATCGTTTCCTTTTGCCTGTTATAAACATATGCACAAAGACATAATACCCTGTACCACAGTGTGGGTATAAACATTACAGCTTTGGTTAAAAACGTTGCATCTATGACAATGAAAATGGGGTCAAAACTTTATATGAAATCATGGACCTATACTTTTTTACGTAGAAAACGAAATAGAAAATTACATGAGCCGTACCCTTATAACCACAATTTTCATCACATCGAAAGCCGAAATCAGCCTCCCGCTGTACATCATCGTCGATGCTATGCAGTTTCTTATCCGAAACGGTTTATTGATGCTGATCAAGCGACGAAATTAGGAGTAGAAACAAAGTCCTCAAATCGCTTGCTGGTTTAGCTCTTTGGATGTTGTCGAAGACAACTTGTTGACACCCATAAAAAGCAATAGTTGGTAAACTATGCGACGACAGTGTGTAAGCGATACGTTTACACTTGAGTTGACGGAGGAGTTCGTATCTGTACATCGTCCCAACAGTATGTTGTCGTTGCAGTACCTGCTTGGGTATTATGGTGAAATCATCCATCCCATTACCTTTAAGATAGGATTACAACATCCAGGCACGTGAGGAAAAACCTTCATGATCTAGAAAAAGAGAGAGAGAGGTCTAACGGTACAAGAGAAACCACTCCACATACCACAGATGTAGAACATCTGTTAATTCCCATACCAAAATGCATCCTCAATTCCAAGTTATAATCTGCAGTATTAGACGGAATGAATTTTTTGCATTACTAAACGAATAGCAAACAATTGTTTACTTTTTGCCGTTCAGCAAATAATCTAAACACAATAAGCCAAATAATTTACAAAAATAATAAAAATGGGGGAACTTAAGAATGACGTAGCGTTAATAAAACCAGTTTTGACGAAAAAACGCAACAGCAAAAAGAGAGAAAAATACGTACTTCTTCAAACTCACAAATAAAAAAAAATATAGCTAGCAAATGCACTGATTTTTTGTCAATATGTATGTATATACCTGCTGTTTTATATATTGTATTTAATAATCATTAACATATTCTCATACATTATTTGTTTTGTTGACGCGCTATTTTAAATATGCAACCAAACGGAGATGGAGACAGAGAAGCAACAAGTACTGATATTATATACAGATTTCTTTATCTTCCCTCGCAAACAAAATTGAATATATCTTCATTTTTCAGGTTCTATTGAAATCTACAAATAATAAATGAGTTCAATGGCATTCTTCTTATTCGGTCAAAAACTTGTATTCAAATAAAACAAAATCAATTCTAAGAAGTCAAAAAAAAAAAAATTGTCATCCAGATTTTGTTCAGGGGAATAGTTAAGTACGCAGACTCCAATATTTTTCAATTGAATGATATTATCAATGATACAGAGGAATTTCCAGTGCAGACAAAATTCTAAAAATTAGGAAAAATGTATTTATGTATTTTTTTTTGTATTGAATTGAACGAATTTAAATATTTGACCTTTATCTGTAAGTGAGCCGACCAACATCAATCCATACACATGCCTTTCTGCAACCAATTCTAAATTTCACTTTATTCGGGCAGATTTAGAGTCGTTTGCGTACAATGGGACAAATTTATGTAAATCGATTTATAGCACAATTCAAACATGCTATTCGGTATGCCGCACTGCTCAAAATTTAATCTCAATCAGACAACCGTTCGAAATATGTATAACAGCTATGTAAGGATCATTTCAAATACCTGCTGTTTTATATATTTACCTAAAATCGGACGAAAATATATATGTGGGAGCTATATCTAAATCTGAACCGATTTCAACGAAACTTTTCCAAAGATTAATCCACATTAACTTCAGTACATTGTACAAAATTGTGTGACAATCGGACAAACTTTGGGTTTTTTGTGCACAATTTCATAAAATCGGAAGAAAAGACATATAGTAGCTATATATAAATCTGAACCGATTTTCAGCAAACTTTACACACGTCATTCTAGACTATGTTCAGTACAATATGCCATATTTCGTGCAAATCGAAAGAAATATAGGGGCTTTGGTACACTATTTACATAAAATCATACAAAAATATATATGGGAGCTATATCGATTATTACGAAACTTAGCACACACAATCCTAGACTCTATTTGGTACGCTATGCAAATTTCGTGCACATCGAAATGTATATACGGGCTTTGATACACCATTTACATGACATCGGACGAAAATCTAAATCTGAACCGATCTTCAGGAAACCTAATACACAATATTTTACACTCAATTTAGTAAAATATTGATATATTACATATATCCTTTCTGTCTTTGTGTACCTCTGTTTTAGAATTGGTTCTCTCAAAATAACTCCTAACATGCCTTAACATTACCATTACATTACATACCGTTTTTAAGCCAGGGATATATATGATCGAAAAATATATAGGGACATTGCGGATATTCATAAATCAACTCAGAAAGTGATTCTATGCATATTTTTAAGGCCATGGGTCTATTTTTACTCCTAAATCATGCCCCAACATTTTAAATGGAGAAATCATTAAATAAAAAAATTGTATAAACTTCCGTAATATTTCTAGAAGGCCCATATGGTAGAAAATCAACAAAAAATAAAAAACAAACAGATGGAATTCTACCCAAAATTTAGATTGCAGTATTGAAAGCTTTTGTGTTTTTTTTCCTACAATAGACACTTATTTTTATATTGTTTTTTTTTACCTTTTTACCATTACTTATTCTTACTACAATTTCTTTCGCATATAAGACTACTATTTGCATAAAATTTTTGTTTACTGCAGTTTTGTATTTTTTTTAATGCCGCAGCCTAAATAAAGAAATTCACTAAAAAACGATTTTTATTTTGTTGTTTTGTATTTTATAGTACAAAATCTAAAAATAAATCGTAAATCGTCACTGCAAAATTAGTGGCCAAATTGCGATTCATTATCAAAATGTTGTTGCTATTTAATAAAAAATAAAGAGCAGACACACATACATAGACAACACACAATAATAATATTGAATTTTTGCATTTTATATCTGCGAGTTGATTTTGTTTTGTATTTCTGTTTTTTTTAACTTTTTATTTTGTCTTCTGATAACTAAGATCATGACGGAAAACTGGGGTGAAGTGTTTTGTACTTGGGTAAGGTCCCATAAAGAAATTTCATATAATCTATTATCTATTAGTAGGCATATACATATAATGAATTCTACATACATATTCTGTATGCATAATTCTTATCGTCGGGAATTTTAAAATACATTATGTCTTTTGTTGCATTTGCAATGATGAACTTTGTTTTAGGTAGTACAATTTCAAAATTAATTTTATTTTCTCATATTACGTTTGTACAAGTACAAATAAATTGCAAATTATTATTTACATGTTTAATTATCATGATGTTGTTCGTACTTGCGTTTTTGGAATAAATCATGAAAGAGTTTCTTATTGTTGCAAATAAAATGAAAATATTATTTTGGATATGTACGTATATATATAAAAAAAAGTTATAAGATGCCAGTCCATTGACCTACTATTTCTATGAGTTTAGGATAGGCAGAAATACACCACCATCATTATTGTATCCATAAAAACTCAAATGTCTTTTATTTCCACATAGAATGTTTTTGTAAGTACGATTCGCTAATATAATCTATCTATATTCCCCAAATTTAAAATTAAACATAACAAATTTCATTGATTTATATGTGTATTTATATACAGTAAATTGTTTAACTTGTTTGTTGTCTAATTATTAATTCATATAATGTAATTGAAGATTTATAGCCACGTGCTAGAAATTTGTTAATTAATATATTTGCTGTCATGAGAGGATTAAAACTGAGCCTAAGAGTATTTTGGTTCAATGCACGTGATATCAACAATAACAAATTAAGATTTCTAGGCTTTAATTAATATTGAGATTTTTTTCTCGAGTTGTGCATAAGCCTGGCCTTGTGGAGGTAAAAAATTTGCTGAAAATATGCTTAAATGTCTCATAACATACAAATTATGAAAAGCCTATTACAACATTTACAAAAGTGTATGTAGGTCTTGTCAAATTGTACCAAATTTAGTACACAGTAGTACTAATTTCCAAAACTTTCTACTTAACTCAAAACTACATCTCCATAGTGATCCTAAATCCAAGTTCCAAGATTCCAACTCTATCGGTTCACCTACAATTCAAATGTACCAAATTGAGTACACAGTACTACCAATTTTCAAAACTTCCTACATACCCCAATTCTACACCCCCACAGATATCCTAAATCCAAGTTCCAGGATTCCAACTCTATCGATTCACCCACAATTATACCAAATTGAGTACACAGTAGTTCGCATTTCCAACACTTCCTACCTTACACAAACTTTCACGATTCTCGTTCTATTGGTTCACCTAAAATTCAAATTGTACCAACTTTGGTACCTTTGGTATTAATTTCTTAATCTGAATCCTGACCCCAATACTAAACTTTACAGTGATCCTGACTCCAAATTTTATTGTTCCCACTCCAGCGGTTCACCCAAATCCGAATTGTACCAATTATAGTACGATTTAGTACTTTTCGTACACATAAGTAACAAATTTCCAAAACCACGTACATATCCCAATCCTACACTCCGACGGTGAAGTTAACTAGAAGAAGTGGACGCACGGATCCCATCTTCGGACATTATGAAGGTTTTTTAAAAGTATTATGCGAAGTTGGATCAAATCGGACATTCGTTTGATAATTAATTAACAAATTTTCAAAATATGGTGGGTGTGTTACTAGAAGGAGTGGACCGATGGGTCCCATCTCCATACGTAATCTAGGCATGGTACATTAAATCGGACGAAAATATATAAGGAGCCATTCTAAATCTGAACCGATTTCAACATCAAGCTACTTCAATTTCAATACGCTGTTCCAAATTTTATCTCAATCGGACAAACCTTGGCTTTTTGGTGGTCCATATATGGTAGCTATATGTAAATCTGAACCAATAGCAACAAAACTTCACACACATCAATCAGGACCTAATTTATTACGCTGTGGCTGTTTGGTTCACCCCTTTACATAAAATCGGACGACAAATATATATGGGAGCTATATCTAAATCTGAACCGATTTTCTCCAATTTCAATAGGGTTCGTCCTTATGCCAAATAAGTGAATTGTGCCAAATTTCATCCAATTCGGATATGTGCAAAGAAAATCGTTTTATGGTCTCGGAAAAAAATTCGGGGCTCAAAGGTTTACAGATTTCCTCCAATTTCAATAGTGTTCGTCCTTGGGCTAAATAAGTGATCTCTGCCAAAATTCATTCAATTCGGATCTGTGCAAAGAAAATGGTTTTATGGTAAGAGAAAATAATTCGGGGCTCAAAGGGAGGACATAAACATGCAGCAGATAATTTTTTTCTTCAATTTAAACTTGCAACCACATTTGTATGTACATTTCGCTGTCACTTGTTAATTAATACACCAGTTTTTATGACTTGACGCCGAGTATAGCATAACAAGTAGAGTAAATACGATCCAACATTTCAACTCATATTTATTAATGGTCTTAATATGAGTACATATTTCGGGTTTACTTTAGACTATTTCAAATAAAACTGTTGAATATTTTTAATTGAATCCATATTTCCGAGAAATATAAACGATATATTTGCATTTAAAATTAAGAGCAAATTAAATCTCTCAAATCTCGGATTTTTCAGAAATTTTTAGACAAGGTAGGTTTTGTCTCACTGGTCACGAAAATAAATGACCATCATGTGGAAGTCCATACTTCCCAACTTAAGCCTTAAATCGATTTCGCGTTAAATATACTTATTTGAAAAATATTTCGGTAAGTGTAATAATTAGAGTCACAAGATCCATCATACAGTGTTCATAGATACTTTTAATCGAACCCTGTAACTTTCTTTTGAATAACTCTTCATTTCATTAAAAGAAATAAACAAATAAATCCGCATCATATCGACTTACCTCTTCTTGTAAATAACCAGCTACCAAACCAATACGATGATCACAATCAATAATACGTCCATCGATTAAATGTCGCGTTTTATATTCTAAACGATTAGCTTCCAATGGATAATTAATTATTTTCGCCGGTCGTATAATGCGGGCCATTGCAATAAGAACAATGTCATTACCGCTAACACCATGTAATGCGGCCTGCGCTATGGCATCATGCGGTAATAGATGTGGTATAAATGTAGCGGCACCATCCATTGTTCCCCCTACACTACCAACACCGTTGCCGCCACCACCTGCAGCATTCATGTGCGCCGAAGATGCACTGCGTGACCGGCGTATTAACTGTGATACAATGGGATAACTGCTAGCACCTGTTGATATTGCCGAATAATCACTGCGCCGAAAGCTACCGTCGATTTTAACAAATTCATAGACCTTTTTCGATTCGGAACGTGTTGAGGCTCGCGCCAGACGCACTGTAAAACTTCTCTTATCTAAGCGTAACTTTTCATCAATTTCTTTCAAATAGCTATCATCGTTGTGTATATCATTGTGGTGCATTTGCGACGCAGGTGGCGGCGATCCATAATGTGCATGCGGCGTCTGATGATGGTTGTGGTGGTGGTGATGATGGTGTGTTGTGTAGGAACATTGCTGATTATAATGCGTTTTATTTATTTGAGATTGCGTACCATGGTGATGGTGGTGATGGTAATCCATAAATAAAGACTCAATATCATTGGGTATAAGTTGTTGTCTCAGCAGCTCATGATCATCAGGATGGGTAATTTGCAATAAATTCTGCCCGTACAAATCGGACTGGCAATGACCTAAGAGTTCTTCAACCCTTGAAGAAATCAATACAATTTGTCCGTGACAGGTGAGTGTTATAAAAAAGCCATCGATTAGCTGCAATAGGGCATCGGTCGCGTCGTGAGTATCACCTATAAATAGGGCCCGTTTACGAGCGGCTGCCGCCTTTCCAAAGACATACTGCAGTCTCAGGCCATGAGTGGCATATCGTAATACTGCAGTTTTGTCGGGACGTCGTGGACAATTGGCCACATGTGGCACCATTTTGGCCAATTCATTTATGCTGGCATTCAATTTGTCACGACGTTGTTTTTCGGCCAAATTTCGGGCCTCACGTCCATTTATGGCAGTAGAGGAATTTGCATCGACTGTTGCTGTGGGCGATACAATGGTCGGTGTCACTGGCGAAGTGGGTGTGGAGTTGTCCGAGGAATTGGCCATGGCAGTATTGACTACTATATTAAAGGGATGGTGCACAATCGATTGAGATGGCATAATGTCCATTCTAGTTGGCTCAAAGGATTTGTTTTGTCCACTGTTGCTTGCTCGCACACCTAGCCGTTTTGCAACCAACACAGCAGCTTCGGCAAGTCGCTAGACGAGAAGAGGCGTTTGGTCGGTCGCTCGGGTGGCGCAGCGGAGGAGGTGGAGATGTTTTTCTTCGAATTACGTTTTGTCTCTACTTCCAATTGCTGTTTTGTTTATGCGTACCAAATTTTATCATCAACTATGTTCATCCCACCGCTTTCGTCATGGAAATTTAAATAAATATTGTATTGTGTATTTATTTGTTTCTCTTCTACTTGCTTATCACTATTATTCGTATTTTTATAGACGTTGTTGCTGTTGTTTCTGTCTCTGCTACGGCAATGGCTTTTTATGTTGTTTTTCCGTCAACGTCGTCGTCCCGTCGCACTTTATTTTGTTTAAAATTTCAGATTTCTTCTTCTTCTATACTTTCTTTCTCAATTCGTTTCTATTGTGTTCTATTCTTTTCGTTGTTTATGCGAGTTTCTGATTTTCAAGGTCTTCCTTCTAATTCTCACCCTGCTGGTGTCTGTCGTTTCGTCTCAGCTGACCCTCTTCTACTCTTCTATCAACAATTTATCGGTCTGGCCTGTCTGCCTGCTCCACCACCTACCACCTCCTCAATAACCGACCGTCATCAACATCGTTCCCTCGTCACCGTCGCAGCGCAATTCACCAAAATCCAGCCATTCGACAATTCGTCTGTGTCTGTTGGTGGTTGCGTGTCCAGTTTTCTTTTCAAAACCTTTTCTTCGATTTGTTATTAACACACAATATATACACTTTCGTATTGTTTGTTTATCACTTTGACGTTATGCATTGCCACACAATTAACAATCAATATATTCGTTTTTTCGCTTATTTGGGATATTTTCTTATTGTAATTATATTTTATCATAAATATTTTTACCACTAGTGAACTAGGGTTAAGTAAATCGAGTTTCGACCAATCGATTAATCGATTTTTTGTATTGAAAAGTCAAAATGTCGACTTTTGATCTTTGAGGAGAAAAAATCGCAAAGTCGACTTTTCAAGATCGACTTTGGAATTTCTTTATAAATAATTGGTTTATAATACAAAACCCAACATTTTCTAAAAATTGCACATTCCATGAAGAATGATTTGCTTTTCCAGCAACAAAATATATTTTATCATAAATAATCACTAGAGAACGTAGTCTATTGTGTTTTGAAGTAGATCGCGGGGTAGCATATTTTGGACGCCGTTACCTTGCATGTTGGCGGCGAAGATTTGAGGTATCAATATCTCTGACATGAAAATGATTTGTTTACGGTTATATGATTTTTATTAGTATTTTTCAAGGTACAATATATAGGTACTCCATCGAGAGCCACTGATTATCAGATTAGCTGTCTAAGTTCACATTTGCCACTTGAATTCAACGTTCAAAGTTACCAAACATCAGAAATGTTACTGGGAACTTATTTTGAGAATGTTTTTTTCTTTCAACGGGAACTGTTGGTAAAACAATTAATGAACTAATTACACTAAAAACCACAGCTGGCCAACAAAATTTCCAGCATGGTACAATTCATGATGCAATAATAAGGTGATGTATCACAACAAAAACCTTTGTTTTTGTCTCCATCATCTGTCATATTTTTTCTTATAATATTTCACATTGTTGGCAACATTGCACATTGAATTCAAATAGAAATTACGCACTTTTACAGTTAAAGCGGATTTACATATAACATTTGATCATGATTAAAGGACGAATCTGGATTTATTTTCTTAATCCGGCTAAATTTACCATACAAAATTAAATCATCGTACGGCATGGTTTATTTTAAATCATGATACTACTGAGATGCAACGCGGTTTTTTGTGCTAAAAAATACAATTCTCTCACAGTGTACCAAAATTTGCAATTGTTTTCACATGTTGTTTGTTTTTAAAAAAAACAATTAAAAAAAAAAACAATTAAAAAAAAAAACAATTACTTATAGAAATTTTGTGTTTTTCATTGTTTTTTATAATATCCACACCATCACAGCAGTGCAAAAACATTGTTGTAATTCTTCGTTTCATGTTCAAATTGCAAACAAATTTTTTGCAGCAAATTTATAATTTTGTATGTATTTCTGGATTTCGTTAATCGAGTCGATTTAAAATCGTATATGTAAATGCACTTTTAATCAAGACATCAGCTGAACTAAATGGACTACCTATTTATTGTGCCATGGTGCCATTATACATTATGCCAGGGTTACCGTTGTGCAACTAAAGTCGCAATTTGCAACCTTTTTGATGCCCTATAACTCTGTTACTCTTTTAAAGCTTTGTGCGAGTTTTCTTCCCTGTTTTTAATAAGTTGTTGGTCTGTTCCAGAACCTGCAATAATGTACAATTTTTTACTACGATAAAAATTTTTCCTTTATGATATCGGCAAAAATAGTAAAAATTAGTAGATTCTTGCAGTACGGGAACAGACCATGTATCATCCTTTTTATATGTAAATTCAAACTAATTAGATTCGTCTACGTCGTTTTTGTGTTCCAAGGATATCTGACATATTCTCGAAACAGTTTTATTGACAAATTTGCTTTTCTGTGTGACTTTATTTCAAGCGAACAACTTTTTGTGCATCATTTTTAAAATTCCCAGCGTTAACACTGGTGTGTGTGCAACACATATGGAAATGCTAGAAATCGGGATTTTTTTATGGAACAGAATCTATATACAAATTGACACGAATATTACCTTGAAATCAAATCAGCTGAGTATTGCAGTTACCTTGTACAATTGTTCCATGGTTTTCCATTTAAGATTATTGAAAGTCAGAGTCCCCCCTCTATTTTATTATCCGAAAACTTGTGTTGGAGCCATGGCATAATTATACCAGGTAGTCTTATGCAAACTTATGACTCCTATTTCTTTATTAATCGAACATTTTATTTATTTTTTTAACGAAATAAATAAAAAAAAATATTTGCTAAACCTATTTTAACTCTCCGCCATAGTGTTGATTTTTTGTCATCTTTACTCCTCCTCCAACTAGTTCACTTCCTATTTAGTATAGGAGGTAAAGGACCATATATACGACGACCTTGCCGATCGTCTTTTGTAATATCAATATCTTCGGAAGAAATTTGCCTGTAGTCATGTAGAGTTTAGCGCTCTTAATCGGGTTGCCAATATCAATTTCCAAATTGGGACTACCTTCCATAATTATGTGATGTATGGAATCATGGTATATACAATCATACAAGATAGGCTACAGCAACTTACAATTACAAAGTCATATACAAAATATGTGAATGTTTTTTTAAAATAGAGAAGAAATTAAAAATTTGTGGGATAAAAAAGTATCAACATTTTTGGACGGTTCCCGTACGTATAAATTACATTTTTTTCATATACAAAATCATGGTACAATTATACAAGGTATCTGCAATACTTTGCTGATTTGATTGTATCGTAATACTTGTGTCAGGTTCGATGTGATATTTTTGATTTATGTAAAACGACCCACCAGGAAAATCTTGTACACATTATATGTGAAATAAAAAATACGATAATACAATTTGAGCTATACTATATATAAATTACATTTTTTCATATAAAAAATCATGGTACAATTATACAAGGTATCTGCAATACTTTGCTGATTTGATTGTATCGTAATACTTGTGTCAGGTTTGATGTGATATTTTTGATTTATGTAAAACGACCCACAAGGAAAATGTTGTACACATTATATGTGAAATAAAAAATACGATAATACAATTTGGTTTATTTTCTTAATCGGGCTGAAATTACCATGATTTCTCATACAAATTTAAATCATTGTGCGGCAGGGTTTATTTTAAATCATGATCGAAATCATGATACTACTGAGATACAACGCAGGTTTTGTACGAAAAAATACAACTCTCTCACAATGTACCAAAATTTGCAAATGTTTTTACATGTCGTTTATTTTTAAATTTAACGGTTGACAAATACAAAAATGAAAGATCAAAGAAAATTAAAAATTATTTATAGAATTTTTGTGTTTTTAGTTCTTTTTTTACTTTTGCATCAAAGTATTGCAAAAACATTTCCATTGTGGTAATTCTTCTATTCTTTTTTCAAATTGCAAACAAATATTTTTGGCGCAAAATAATAAGAAATACTAACAAACATCAGCTGATCGGCATTTAGATCATGATTAATGATATGTGTAAACAATTAGGGTGTATTTCTGTATTTCGTTAATCGAGTCGATTTAAAATATTATATGTAAATGTACTTTAACAATTAATGCATTTTCAAATCAAAGAAATCGCAACAGAAGTTCGATACCCTTTGGTTTACAATTTACTTCAATTTCCTAATGGTAGTATTTAAAGACGCAAATCCTTTTGAAATGAAAACTTGCAATTCTCAATGCTATTTTTATCGTTTTTGTATGAGTTACCCCTACATGTGGCAATGACTCAATTGAAGGAAAGATCTGGAAGCGATAGAGTTATACATTGGCAAAATTATCATTCTTGTTTTTTTATTCTGAAAATCCAAAAATTTATTTTGAAAATAAATCAAATTTATTGATATATAATTTGTTTTTTTTTACACAGTCTGGGTTTATACATGCAACTTTTTTAAGCAACTCCGCTGCTGCTCTCTACGATTCTGTTTTGAATTTCCTCCCCTTGCCACCTTTTATACCTGTAACTTTTAAGAACTCAGCAGAGTTGCTTAAAAAAGTAATATAGGAGAACGCAGTCTGAATCATGTTTGACTTTGATATTCCATTATAAATTCGCATTTTAAACAATGCCAAAACTGAATTCTCGTATGCATTTTCCCCTTACTACTTTTAAGTCTTTTTCCCTCTATATAAAACGGCATTTACATTAGAACTTTTTACCGGGTTAACCTACTTTATGAGGATTTATGTGACATGTATACCATGGAATTGACAATTTAAACCCACTGGGTTAATGAAATCCGGTGCAATGTAAAGATGCTATAATGGCTAGCATTTGGCTTGCCAAAACACATTACGATTCGT